AAACCAGCGGAATTGCAAAATCAAGTGACGGAGATGGAAACGTTCCCCTCCGCTTTTTGGGATTCATCGGGCAAATCGCTTTTTCACCGTGCGCATTCAAAGCCCAAAATTTTTGGGTGTCGAGCGGCCGGGATGAGAATCGGCGCCTCCAAATCTGGGGCCCGAGCCGTCAGCTGGAGAAGCGCCCTCTGCGGATCGGCGGCGAGATCAAGCCCCCTGGCGTCTCGGGGGGGAAAGAATGACGTCAGATATCCGGCGGGCAGATTCCCGGCAGGGTCCGCAGCCGTTCCCGGTCGGGAAGGCGCAAGCCCCCCCATCGCCGCGGGTCGCCAGCCAAACATACAAACCGGCGACCCGAGTCGCCTTCGCCGGCGCCGCTGAGGCGCCAGTGTTGGCGAAGGAGCGCGCGCTCACGCCGAGGTCCGCCGAAGGTTGGAAAAATGCTCAAAGCTTTTCCTGTCCAGAAGTGCGAGCGAAGGTCTGGAACGCACCTTGATGAGAATGCGATGCCGGCAAGCTTGGCAAACACGCACCAACTGCCTTTGACCTTTGACCTCCAACAGCAATATGGAGCATTTCGCCATTGGAAGACACCCCCAGGAGCCCCCGTTGAGTTCCACAACAGCACAAAGAATGACTGGGTTTGGGCAACCCCCCCCCCCGCAGTGCCTCCACGCTGCCCTACATAGCACTGGGTGGCCATCTGTCCACCAGCACCATGACACACTTCTGCAGTCTTGAGACGACACCACTGTTGGTTTTCGGGGGGGCGGGGGGGGGGGGGGAATTCCGTTTCTGTACGTTGCCACGTTCATGTCATCTGGCCAACGACACCAAGCCATCCAGCAGGCTACCCCGCGCGGTTCTCCGACAAAAATACACCTTCCCTTTGGACAGTTTGCTGGTGTGCCTCGTTGTTCACCTCGAGTGCGCGCACAGAATGGAATCGCGCGTCCAATTTGACAGCCAACGTGCGGAAAGGAGCTTGGCGCTGCCATGGCCACCTTTGCGTGTCACGTTGGTTAGCAGTGCGTGCGTGCGCGCGTATCTCCGATGAGGATGATCGATTTCCAGGTCAAATGTTTCTTTTTGCCGCGTCATTCATATCCAACCCACCGCAGGACAATTGCGACATAATAGTCGTGGAATGAAGACTTGGTTTGAGTGCAGGCTGAAGCCGCCATTGCTTGTCGAACTGGCCGTCCGGCCTGCGGCGACGTTGACGCGGGCAAACGGAGCAGCCGAGATGAGAAAGCGGGCCTTCTCACAGCTGCGGCGCGGCCCCGGGGTCGTCACGGCGAGCTCGGATATGGTTCCAAACAAAATTCTCTGCAGAAAACGGACGGCCGGAGGTTCGCCGGCTCCGAAACCGCCCCGCCGGCGGCATCTTTGCATCTCAAACGTCAGAAGAAGCGACATTTGCGCTCATCTGAATAGGGCGCCTCCAAAGCGCTGAGCTGCGAGAGCATCCGGGCTGCCGCTCGCGACAAAGCGGCGCTTTTCCAGCAGGGGCACAAGAAAAGTGGGGCCGGCCCGCTTATTGATATTCCCTCCGGTCGCTTGTCGCCCGCTGCGAGGCGGAAAGACAGCAACGGGGAGCCTCAACGGGTTGATTTGATTTTTTTTTTTTCTTTTTAGACTTTTATTCTGGGGAGGCGGAAGGGTGGAATGCAATTTCTGGGGGGTGGCAAAGCAAAAACTTGGAAACACGTTGAAGCCAAGCCCTCGGAAGGGTCGCGTGAGGGAGGTCGCCGATCGACGGGGTGTTGCGCAATTCGTTTTGGGGAAGGAAGGACGTCTGGAGGGAAGTCGAGGCAAAGTGCGCATCACTGTCAAAGGCTTCATTTGAAAGGCAAACGCCGACAAACACGCAATATTGAACTCGAGCTTTTAGGGCGGTGAAGCGTTTTGGCAGCCAAGGACAAGCGGACACGATCGCGCGTGGGGATCTTGTCAGTTTTCACCAAGTGAGCGCCTCTCGGCCCATTTCGCGACGGATGGATTCGTTTGGCAACCCGTTGGCAAAAGAGCATCCAAGTAGGCAGCAAATCGGGAACGCTCCCGCTCGTATTGTTCACATTGCAAAAAGTTTGCCCACAATGCCCCACTTTGTATCCAACGAAATTGGCAAATAACAGGCGTTGGACCCAAATCGCCCATCCTTCAGGATTCTTCACAGTCCCCCACGCGAGAAAAAAGATACAAATTCAAGTTCACCCAAAAGACTCCGGTGTCCTTGTCCTCCGTCATCGGTCCTGGCCGCGGCGCAAGGCAAACTCAAACTCGGGAGTCATCCGTCCCTTCTCCGTTCGGAGTCGCGTCGCACACCAAAGCGACTCGAATCTCGTGACGAGGAAGCCGACGGCGCGCTTGAACGCCAAGGCTCCCTTTGTGAGCCGACTTGAAATGACGTCACGTGGGGCCAAAAGAAAAAAGCGAGCCTTGAAAGTGTCCGACAAGTTGTCCCCGTCGACTTCCTTCCGACTCTTCCCCCGAGGCGGCGCACCGAAACGTCGAAGAGCTCGACGGCCAAAGTTGACCGAGTCACGCCGGCGGCCGAACGGGAACGCGCGGCCGCCGTCCGTCCGTCCGTTTGGCGACGCGGGGCGCTTTCCGAACAAAACCGAGCAAAGGCAAACAAAACCAAAGACGACAGACAGCAAGCGCAACAAAAAAAAACAAGGAGGCGAGCGGCACTCACCGGCCGGCCGCCGAGGCGTTTCTCCACTTCGGACAAACTCCGCACGGACACGCTGGCGCTGGGCATGCTGAGCCCCGTCAAGGCTCGAACGAAGACAACTTGACAAAGCCGAGCGAGTCGAGCGGCATGTTTTTGTGCGCTGGCGCCCCGACTCTCTCCCTCTCTGCGCGTGTGAGTTAGTTAGCGCGTCTACTCTTCTGATGAGGGAGCTTTTTTTTTCTCTCTCTCTCGGCTCTCTTCCGCGGCCGCGCGCGCGCGGGCGCGTGAAACAACCCCGCCTTTGTGAGCGCCCCCGCCCCGCCCCCCACTTAACCCTTTGAACACAAGGGACTACTGGATTGACTCAAGTGTTAGGGTCGCTCATCGTGAGTCAAGCTTGGGACAGCGAATGCGGGGGGGGTGAGACGAGCACGCGCGCACAGTTCTTCCCATCTTGCCAATTGCGATGAACCCAAACGCGAGGAAAGTTGACCCAACACACTCAAAGCCAAGAAGAGAATGCAAAGAAGGAAGCTGGTTTCGTGACGTGTCATTCCAGCACCCACTGTCGTATTTGTGTGTTGGATGTCTGCGTGTGAGCACGTGAGTGTGTCGTTGGTTGGCCCTGTTCAACGAACGTCAACGACAGCTGTCCTTGGGCCCACAAACTCCCATGTCCACGTTGTGTTCATTTCACCCCCCCCCCACAAATTTCCCCAAAATTGGTGGGTCCCCACGTGGGTTATTTTTACAAATGACACACTTCAACCAATTTTCACTCCATTTTTTTCACGACAGATGCTTATAGAGGTCAAACTTCAAATATAAAAAAAAATGAAAGTCTCCCCCAAACCTGAAGTGCTTCAACTAAAGTCACGCCCTTTTTGAAATCAGTGTCCCAAATACCTTTGGGGGGCGCGCAGAGCCATCTCCGAGTAAAATGTGGCCTCAACAGGTGCCGGTGACTTGCTGTGCGTCACCGTGAGACGTTTTGCACGTTTTCCGGCGTTCTTTGGCACCTGTTGTTGTCTTGTGCACCTGAGAATGGTTAGCGTTGGACGGGTCCCGGATTTGAATGGCTTGCGTCACAATAGAAACGTTGTGTACCTCAAGTGGGGGGGATTAGTTGCGCAGCCGGTTGTGATTTGAATTTCAAAAGTGGTCCGACCTGACGTAAGACACAAAGTGTCATGAAAATGGACCTTTGCTACGTGAAAAGTGTTGACGGGTCAACGTGACCTGATGCGTGTTTAACCACCAAAAAAATTAAACATTGAAAAAAAAGGAACACACTTGGCAACTGCACAACTAATTCGTCCGTCAACATCCACGACGGCCACTCACATTTTAGAACATTAAAACGGAAGAAAGAAAAAAGTTTACATGACCACACGCTAATCTAGTCAAGTATGCTAGCGTCACCGATCCAAATATCGTTAGCTGTGCAGACTCATAAAAATGTTCAAATGCGTTTGCAAAAAAAACAAAAAATGCTGTTGGGCTAACAAGCACCGTCCATGTCAAATGATTTTGGAGATCAGAGAGCAGCCGTTCCTGGAATTTGAGTCGGCGTCATGTTGCGATCCAATCCGTTCCGTTGCCCGCTTCCAATCTTACGTAAGCCGGCGCTCTTAAGGCCCGCTGGCTAAATGGAGCTTTTGTGGCCGGCTTTGGCAGGGGGCTCCTCGGGCGCGATGAATCCCGGCTCCCAGCGAGAGCGTGGGAACGCTGCACCTTGAGCCGCGGCGCGGCGGGCTAATCCGCCGAGGCCCGGCGCCCCACGCGTTGCGTCACCCCTCGTTTGTGCGTTTTTTTGTCGCCGCGATTCGTCGCGGTGGACGTTTCGGGTGGACGGACGGTGCCGGCTTGAACGGCTGAACCGGATCGGGGCTTCGTAGGCGGAACGCCCGCTTCGAAGAGGGGAGCCACACTTGCGCAACCGCTTTTGGAGCTCCTTTTGACTCCAGTTTGGTTTGATATCTCACGGGGGTCTCACGCCATCGACTTCTTGCCACTACTCATGCTCGATTGGAGGAAGACGGTGGCGAGACAAAGCAAAGGAAGCCGCTATGCTTGCGGATTGACTGAGCTGCTTCACCTTTTGTGTGCTCGTCCCATCCTCGAGCGTCACTTGACAAATAATTCGACAGCAACAGGTCGACAATCTGCTGGCTTTATTGGGGCGGCACGTGTTGATGACTGACCTTTTTTTTTTCCTTTTACTGTTGAAAGCCGCTTTTGTAAGGCAAAGACAAAGTTCAACTCAGCCCAACTAAGCTGAATCAGCAATCGGAGTAAGCGCCACGCGTGAAAAGCGCGCTGAAGTTGGAAAAATATCAGAGACTTGTTTTTATTTTCATATGACAAGACCATCAGAGATATTTTTTTTGTCCAAAAGACAGGATGTGATCATCACAGAGTGCTCTCCACCAAATTCTATTTACACACAGTGACGGCATTGTTGGTCCGATCCTTTGGATGGGCAAACAAATCCACAATTTCAAAGAAAAACAAGGTTATAACCTTTAGCCACAAATAAATTCACGAGGACATTTTGGGAGTCAATTGCAAAAAAAAAAAAAAAAAAAAACCCACAGGACAGCATGATTGTACACTACTCCCAAAAAGTTTGGGAGATCAAGTTTGGGGCGGAAATTTAGAAGGAAACTAAAACGCATGACCACTGGTGGCTTTCTGTTACTCTTCCAGTGCAGCCACTAAGTTTCGACTGTCACAGTGTGTCATCAGCGGGTTGCAAAAGAGAGACCGGAAGAGTCACAGAAACGCAAAGAGGTGGAAACGTATTGGTCCATTTAGGTAGCCAACGCATTTTAGGTTCATCCTGAAATGTCGTCCCAAGCCGTCTACGAGTAGCGTCTCAGAAAACGTGTCCACCAGAACCGCCTTTGTTGACGGTTTTGCAAAAAGGCCTTGAGGCGGACAAAGCAGAAATTGCAAAATTGCGTCCAGTCAAGCGAACACGCTATAAGGGCGCCGCTTCCGTCTTGATTGTGCACATGAACAGCCGGCGGACTCTCTTATCTTATGCCACCAGGCTCTGCAGACTGACTCGAAGGGTGGGCGGGGGGTGTGTGGTTGGTGGACGAACGGCGACGCAACCACGCCATGGCCGGAGACCGGCTGCGACAGTCCGGGCTTTCCCGAGGCCAAAGGGGGGCGGCGGAGGCGGGGACGAGGCTCAAACCCCGGGCAGCGACTGGCTGTTGTAGTCGGTGGAGTCCATTTTGAGGATGTACGGGATGATGCTGTCGATCTGCACGTTGCCGATGAGGCCGGCGAAGAAGAGCTCCTCGGTGACGGCGGCGCTGATCAGACGCAGGGCGGGAAGCCGCAGGAGCAGCTTGGACAACCTGCGCAGAGAAAAGGCCACGTCTCGAGATCACCGGCGGAAATCGTCGATGCCGATTCTTTGCCGAGGTCAGCGCTCGGCCTGCTCGAGCGCCGCGGTCGACGTGGACGCCACAAGTGCGCGATAACGGCGGAAAACAAAGGAGACTGCTCCTTTGGACGCAGGCGCGGTCTCATTTGCAGCGACGGGGCTCGGGTCAACAACAGGACCCAAACTCCATCGTACGGCGAGGGGCCCGTGCGTGGGCGCCGCGGGACCCACCGGTAGGAATCTTCCGGGTACGTCCGCGCGACGTAGTCCTGCAGCTCCATGTAGGCCTTCTGCTGGAACCTCTCGATCTGCAGGGTATTGTCGATCCCGGGGTGATCTGATGCAAATCCAAACGGAGAAAAGAAAGCGCGTTTGCCATGCGTGTTGCCGCGTACGCGCGCTTGCGGGCGGGCGGGCGGGCGGGCTCGCCGCGGCGCCCCGTTGAACTCCTTGGGCGGGACGCACCGGGACTGAAGAGAACGATGGCTTTGAGGAAGGCGTATTCGTAAGCGTCCGGGGACAGCTTGGTCATGCTGTTGCAGAACTCCTGCAGCCTCCAGATGTGCTCCATCACCACTTTCACGCGCTCTTGGGAAAGCTTCTCTGTTGGTCGGGCGGAGAGAGCAAAAAGAGACGTGACGGACGGGGAGCAAAACGTCCGAGGCCAGCGCCGACGAGCCGGTCCCGCGCAACCGATGTCGGGATTGTTGAGAGCAACGTTGTTTTCAAGAGCAAAGATTGGGCGAAAATGGACGTCGGTCGCTAGCGCTGATCCGGGGCGGGGTCGCGGGGTCGGCAGCTTTAGCGGGGAAGCCCAGACTTGCCCCTCCCCCCGGCCGCTTGTTGCAGCTCTTGCCGGGGGCTGCCGAGGCGTTCCCGGGCCAGATGGGAGACATCGTCTCCCCAGCGCGTCGTCCCCGGACTACTAAGACATCACGAGAAGCACGGATGGTTCACTCTGCGCCGCCACGTCGGTATCGTGGCGGAAGTGAAATGTCACATCGAGTGATTTGACGGCTCCGCCGAGCCGCTTTGACGTGACGGCCGAGCCTCGCGCTCGGAAAGGCTCGAAAGGCCAAAAAGGGGCGCGCGTGCCTCTGCATTTGCTTTGGTTTGATAAAAAGGCAAACATTGTTTCTCTGATGACAAAGAGCGCGGATCGAGACATCAAAGACAAAGCGAACGAGGAACCGGAATGACGGCAAGCGCGCCGATGCCGTTTGCCTGGCCGACGATGTCGGGTCGGCCCGCGGCGGCTCCTTGCGAGCGTTCTCTCGTTTCCCACGAAAGCGTCGTCCTACCTTCCTGCAAGCTGGTCTGCAGATGGCCGATGATGGCGCTTAAGATGGTCGCCACGTTCATCACGTTGGAACACTGGGCCAGACCCAACGCGAAGAGCTCGTTCCAGCAAGCTTTCATCAGGTTGATGTCGTTGTCCTCCTGACCTCTGCAAAAAGGCCGCGGGGCTGCGGTTGCCGAGGAGCGTCCGTGTGGCGCGCGAGAGGCGGCGCGCCCGTCACTTACCCCAAGGCTTGGAAGGCGGGGATGGAGCGCGCCCAGTGCATGGACAGGAAGAGGAGGCGCGAGGCCGATTCGCAGATGTAGTTGACGTTGAGGTACTCCGGCACGGGCACGGGCATCATCAGCTGCGGCAACAACAACAAAAACAAAAGGTGAGCGAGCCATCGGCAGACGGCGTCGCCGCCCCCCCCCGCCGACCCCCCGCGCTTACTTTGAATGGAATATGGCTTTCCGAGAGCAGCGAGCCCTCCACTTCCGACACCGGGCCCGACTGGTCGCCCGACATCAGCCGCATGGTGGCCTCCAGGTTGGTCGGCGGCGAGCCGTCGCCGGCGTGCAGGACTTTGGCCAGCGTGTCAAAGGCTCTGGAGGACACACGGGGGGGGGGGGGGGGGGGGGGGGGGGGGGGGGGGGGGGGGGGGGGGGGGGGGGGGGGGGGGGGGGGGGGGGGGGGGGGGGGGGGGGGGGGGGGGGGGCAAAGTTTCCGTGGGTGCAACTGGAAAAGTGGCTCTCGGGGAAAAGACAATTCGGGCGTCATTCGCGTTCAAGTCGCCGGGAATACGATTCCATGCGGCTCCGCCCAGTTCGAGTGAAGACGACGACAAACCACTCGCCATTGTACCAGCGGCATTTCCTTTCCGCTAACAACAGCATTTGCTAGCTTTGAAAACGGATTGGTTCGATTGGGTTCCATGTGCGCGCGCGTTTGGAATCAAAAGCGATTTTCCGATTCGGAGCGTTTCTTTGCCACGCCGCTTGCGACGTCTCAACGCGCGCGTTTTGACCTTCCGGCTGCTCCCAAAATAAGAACAACACAATTGTGATGTCATTGAAGGAGAAAAACAAAACCAGAAAAAGAAGTTATTGTGTTCCACGCTTGAAGCGGAAAGCGTCCTGTGGAGCGCCGGGGCAACGTCGGGGAGGACGCGCTTGGAGCGACCGTCTCCGAAGGCTTTGAGCGCTCGGAAGGCGTCCTCACTCACCTGGTGATATCGCTTTGCTCGTCCTCCTGCAGGTCCGTCATGGAGCCGTCGCCGTTGCTGAGCGTGTCGGCCGGCTCGCCGCCGCCGGCCTCCCTGGCCTTGTTGAGGTGGGCCAGCGAGGTCACCACGTTGGCCAGCGTGCCCAGGTCGCCGTGGCAGGGGTCGTCGTGCTGACAGAGACACCGGCATGCGACGCGCGTAAGTGGCTTTCGAGCGTAAAATGGCGACGGCTTGTGGGATGGGGACGGAAAGATTTGGCCGGCCCCATTTGACTCATTTCAAGTTCCTTTTGTAAAGGTGAAATAGAAGCGGCCTCGCCGCTTTGGTCCCGGCCCCCCCGCTCGAAGGGGAGTTCAATGTACGATCATCATCAACGCGCGGCGGCGACTTTTGTGACGACGGAGCCCCCGCGGCTCCTCTCGCGGTGTTTTGTCCCTTTTCCGCCGGGAGGGCCAAAAGGGAGTTACCTTTTCCGGGGATGCCGGGATCAAGATGGTGTTTTCCAGCTTGGGGAAAGATTGTTGGATGTTGAGCAACATGCTGGACTCCAGCAAATGCGCCGACCTGTTTGGACAGACGCGCAAACGATGACGTCAAGAAAAGGACGCACGGTGGACCGGGCGACCCGTCAAAGAAATTCGGATCGATTGACTGCGAATCATGGCTTTTGCTCGTCTGCCTTTGGCAGGGAAATGCAATTCGATGCTCTTCCACCGGATGGCAGAAGAAACCCGTTGGGGCGCGTTTGAGACAATGAAGAATTTCCCATGATGCATTTGCTGTGATGGCCAACGACGGACCGAATGAAAATCAAGGCGAAAGGTCGCCAACTCAGACGTTACCGAGTTGGAAGGAACGTTCGGCAAGCCCCTCCGCCGCCCATCTTTCAAACTCGTCCCTTTTTATTCTTCGGCACGAGATTCTATTTTGCGCTTTCTACCCGCCCGTCTTTGTGATTCACGTCTTGTTTGATTGTTGTCTGACTCCTCCCCGCTCCACGTACAGCACTTTGCGTACGGCGCTGGTTGTTTTTCGAGTGCTCTCTGGAGTTGAGCGTCGCGCGCCGCGATCCCGCGGCAGTGAGCAGGTCGACTCGACTGGGAAGGGAGCGAAGCGGCGCGACGGGATGTTGCTCACGTACGAAGCACGCGAGTGAAAAAAAAAAAAAGAATAAATCTGTCCGTTTTAGTCGGCCGCCGATCAGCGTGCGAGGCGACGGGGGGGCAATGTAAGCATTTCACGACGTCACCTGGAAGTCTCCCTGTCGGACACAAAGGTGGGCGTGGCGGCCAGCGGGCTGCACAGGTTCTTGCGGATGTAGATCTTCTCCGTGGAGGCTGCGCAGTTGACGGACTTCTCCCTGGCGGGCACGTCCATCGGCTTCCTCTCGCACTGCACGGCTGCAAGACAGGCGGCGCGCCGCGGGTCAGGGCCGCGCGAGACGCTCGAGCGCGGAACCCGCGGCGACGGCGGCGGCGGCGTACAATCCTGTTTCATGCCCACGGCCATGCAGCGCTGCAGTCGACAGTACTGGCAGCGGTTTCGGTGGATCTTGTTGATGGCGCACTCGCCGGAGCCCCTGCACGTGTACACCAGGTTCTTCCTGATGCTGCGCTTGAAGAAGCCCTTGCAGCCCTCGCAGCTGACGGCTCCGTAATGGCGCCCTGTTTGCGGAAACAAGGTCACGGCGAGGGGATACACATAAGCAGGATCAAAAAAAAAATGTTTTTCGTGGGTTTGTTTTGAAACGGCCTTCAGGCAAATTGAAGAGGATTCCAACCGGAGGCCTTGTCCCCGCACACAACGCAGTACTCCACAATCGGCTTGGCAACGGACTGCTCGGAGCCCTCGGTGACAAACTGACAAAGGGACAAAGAAGAGCGGCGCTCAACACCTTGCAAACAACCGAAGACTCACTTGTCACGCCGTGGCGACGACCAAAAGTCCATTCAAATCAAGAAATGAATAGAAATCCACTTGACGGAGCGTCTGATGTGTCGCTCTCTGGCCGATGGCACCGCGTGACTTTGAGGGGAAAGAACGCCCGAGTCGTTCTCCAAAGAGCAAGAGCACTTTTTTTCCCTCTTGCTTCGATAAAATTTCCATTTCTTCCCACCTCATCGCTGCTTTTTTGTTTGTTGCTTTGAGAGGTGCAACTCATCGACGATCACATTTACTGATCGTTTTTAAGACTCCATCAATCATTTGGAGACCTTGTTCGGGTTCAAATTGCCCAAATGCTCCAAATGTCAGCCTCTCGACATAAACATCCGCCCCGTTTCCGGAGTCCTCCGCGAAAGCAGACTCATTATGTCTGTCGGGTTGTAAAATGAGACATTTACAAAAATCTGCTTTTAGTTTTGAAGACGAGCAACATTTTTTGCAATTTTCTGACGGATGTTCAACTTCAAAACAAAAGAGAATGACACATGCATATCGAAAGAGCAAAATGTTGACCCGGCCCATACGGATTCATCTGAAGGCACACAAGTCCAAATTCAGACTTGCCTGTCAACGCTTCAAATTCCTTCAAAAAATGCGCGCGCGCGCACGCACGCGCACACACACACACACACACACACACACACACACACACACACACACACACGTTGCACACACAAATGATGACTCGCAATTGAACAGGGCTTTCTTTCTCTGCACAGGAACAATCGCAGGAATGTTTCGGAGAGGTCGGGAGGGTCGCACCTGAATCTGCGGTCCTGACAGATCGGGAGAGGCGAAGAGCAGCTGGTTGACCCCGGAGCCGTCGGGGCTGGCGAGGAGGACCTTGTTGGGGGAGCCCTCTTGCTTGGCCAGGATCACCTTCCCGCCGGGGGAGTACTCGGCGTTGGCCAGGATAAACTGCTGCTGCTTGCCGGGAGACGCCGGCTCCAGGGCGGTGACAATCTGGATCTTCTTCTGCGGATCGGTCACAATCTGGAGGATATTCAGAGATGACAGGCGGCCGGCTAAAGTCAAGCCTCTCCTTTCTCAAGAGCACTTTGAAACAGTCATTCGTGCCTTCGCCACATCTCGGCCGGATGACTGTCACGCACGCGACTTTGGAGTCAGCCAATCCTCCGTTCCGGTCGGTCCAAAATGCCCCCGCCGGCCTCCGGGCTGGAACGTATCAATGGCGTTTCCATTGGTTTCAATGGAGAAAGGCGATTTCAGATACGCATGTTTTGAGTGGCGAGCTGGATCGCAAGGTGCCACTCGATTAAGAATCAACGTTGCATTTCGCCTTTGTTTTCAACCGTAAAAGGCCGACCGACTGTTTTGTTGCTACGACGTGACAGAGTGAAGATATGCCAACAAAATGAAAACGGCACGCGGGTAACAGCATGTCACTTGTGAATGAACGTTACCCGGCCATGTTGACAGTGACGAGCTTAGCTCACGGACAGCAAACTCATCCGTCCCGATTGCACGAGGTTCGCAGCATTTGGTGTTGTAGTTGAGGTACATATTCGGTAGAGGTGAGGCTATTCACCCCGGTGTTTTCTCTAGTGATGTTGAGGGGAAAAAAAGAAACATTACCTGAATTCGGTGCCCCATGGACATGTTGCTATCTGCTGACACGAGCTGTATCCTCGGCGCGTGCCCATCCATACTCACACGGCACACATCCACTGGCCACTGCGACTCGCCTCAGTGGCCCATCAAGTATGTGCGCCTAGGGAGCAAACAGATATGGAATACCAGTGACGGCTGCGTATTTGATACCTGGGCACCCACGTCACTCACCAGACCAGGACCTCACCCTTTTTAGGCGCACGCAATCAAAGTCACAGATAATATAGTGCGGAACATGACGATGGCGACCCCGTATCATCCATGCTTGGACATAGTTCATTGAAACAGTCATTCGTGCCTTCGCCACATCTCGGCCGGATGACTGTCACGCACGCGACTTTGGAGTCAGCCAATCCTCCGTTCCGGTCGGTCCAAAATGCCCCCGCCGGCCTCCGGGCTGGAACGTATCAATGGCGTTTCCATTGGTTTCAATGGAGAAAGGCGATTTCAGATACGCATGTTTTGAGTGGCGAGCTGGATCGCAAGGTGCCACTCGATTAAGAATCAACGTTGCATTTCGCCTTTGTTTTCAACCGTAAAAGGCCGACCGACTGTTTTGTTGCTACGACGTGACAGAGTGAAGATATGCCAACAAAATGAAAACGGCACGCGGGTAACAGCATGTCACTTGTGAATGAACGTTACCCGGCCATGTTGACAGTGACGAGCTTAGCTCACGGACAGCAAACTCATCCGTCCCGATTGCACGAGGTTCGCAGCATTTGGTGTTGTAGTTGAGGTACATATTCGGTAGAGGTGAGGCTATTCACCCCGGTGTTTTCTCTAGTGATGTTGAGGGGAAAAAAAGAAACATTACCTGAATTCGGTGCCCCATGGACATGTTGCTATCTGCTGACACGAGCTGTATCCTCGGCGCGTGCCCATCCATACTCACACGGCACACATCCACTGGCCACTGCGACTCGCCTCAGTGGCCCATCAAGTATGTGCGCCTAGGGAGCAAACAGATATGGAATACCAGTGACGGCTGCGTATTTGATACCTGGGCACCCACGTCACTCACCAGACCAGGACCTCACCCTTTTTAGGCGCACGCAATCAAAGTCACAGATAATATAGTGCGGAACATGACGATGGCGACCCCGTATCATCCATGCTTGGACATAGTTCATAAAGCAGATGAGTCGGCGGCTCTGCCAATTGGCCTCTGCATCGTAAGATCTGCTCCACTGGGGGTCAGCGCGGTTAAAGAATGACTCCCTGACCCCCCAAGTGTAGGCTCACAGTTGTTTGAGACTAGCAAGAGGTTACTTGCACTTCCACACTATAAATAATAACTAGAGTGAACTGCAGGTTGATCCAATACAAAAAGGACAAGTAGTGTACGAGTACATGGACCTTAAGGAACTTAAGGGTTTATTCATGGGCAATGAATCAAATGCCCGAACGTCTTTGCACATTCAATGCATTACCGGCCGTCACCAACAAACGTTTCTGGCCTGCGTTTGCAACTCCGCCGGGACAATTAAATGCTCACTGTTTTATTCGCGATGAAAATGGCAAGGAACGACCAGGCGTCATTTTCGTTTCCGAGCAAAAAAAAAAAAAAAAAAAAAGGGAGGGAAGGAAGAAAGAAAGGCAAAAACTCCCGGCTGACAGGCCCCCCCTTTGGGGAAAAAATCGATACGGAAGATAAAGGTATTTCTTTTCCTGTCGGTGAAAGGTCAACGTTGAAGGGTTCAAGCAAGCTAGGAGGGCCGCGCGAGCGCAGCGGAAACGCAGCGACCGCGACCAAAGTTGTTCGCATTCTAAAAGCTTCGACATTCGTCTACCAAGCCACAGCATGAGCGGCGCAACTATCTCCACTTTGCAGCTGCACCTTCCGGTCGCAAATAAGGAATCGCGGTTAGCAGTACGACACGTTTGAGCTAACTAACGTCTGCGAAATAGCAGCTAGCACAGGAGTCGGCGATTGAATGCGTTACTTATGCTAACGTGGACATCACAAAAAAATGTCAACTAATATGCTGTCGGTTCCAGCGGTTATTGACGTGGACGATATACTTACTCGGCGTGGTGCGAACGCGAGTGCTGACTAGCTAGCTGTTAGCTGCGTGCTAGTAGGAAGTCAATAGCAGGCAGGCAGCCCGGCCGGGCTGCTCCCCGGCGCCCTCCCCGCGGATGGGACCGTTCAAACGGCGAAGCCAACAGTGGCGCCTCCTTACACACATAAGTCGCATTTCCTTACCTGTCCATAGGACGCTGGAAATTGAATTTATCCTTTACTATCCAAATAAATTATCCTTTTTTTTCTGAGAATGGAGGGCGGGTCAGAGTTCGTGACCCCAATTGTTTTGGTGTTTTTTTTTTTTTTTTTGCTTTTTCGGGTAATGTGCGCATGCGCAAAGGTTCCGAGTTGGCGCTGAACTTGCTAGCTTGAGCAACTTTTTGAAAGCGCCCAGCAACCATTTGAGCGACTTTGAAAACGTGTCTGTTGAAAAGACACTCAAACGTTACTACGGACGCAATTTTCCTTCACTTTTACAAGCATTCATTTTCACTAAGTTCCTTTGGAACATAAATGGAAAATAGTTGTAGAATGTAGACTAAAATAGTTTGCTGCCGCTATTTTTCCATGACTTATTTCAATTATTTTGTAAAAACATAATGCAAGGGAAAGTGTGTAATTTTTTTGCAAGTGTTTTTATGTGTTTGTTGCAGTTTTGCACTTCCTTGACTCGCCTCTACGGCGAATAAATCGCAAGAAACCATCGACAGGTGTGGTCATTGAAGGGGTTGTCTGTCTGTCTAGCTAGCTGCAGAACAACTGCATTTACACATTTAAAGTTCTTGACATGTGAATTGAAAAAGGTGTGCTTCAGTGAACAGCAAGGTTTTGTGTGGACAAAACTAGACCAGACCAGACATAAACATAAAGACAAAGGGGCGTTTAATCACAAATTCAATAAAAAAAAAAAAAAAAATGCTCCTGTTGTATACCAAAGCAACAATAGATGCCCAGAAAATGTTCTGTCAGGAAGTAGGGCAAAAAGCCTTCAAGTGGTTTCATCCTATCTCAAGAGAACAGATGTGGTGTCCCTCCGGGAGCACTGAGGTAAAAAACGGCCAGGCCACCGCTGAAATGTCAACATCACGCAGTCAGTCCCCAGCTACTACAGTATTGCTGATTCTCGGAATGTGTTGATCCACCTGAGAAGTGCAAATTCACTTAAGGCAGTATTCCTTATTTATTTATTGATTTTGACGAGAACATCTGGACAGAGGTCAAGAAGTTTCGCCCTTTGGAGTTTACCTCTGGGCTGTTTGGACGTCATCCGCTTTGAAATTGTAGTAGAGGGTGTTTTTGTGGTAAAGCTTGAACTGCGACTTTTGCGACGAGTCGACTTTTAAAACGAAGCCCAAAAGTGGTTGACTCTCCATGGCGGCCACGTCCTGCGTGATGGAAAACACATTCGTGGACATTGATTTCATGCCTCTTGATGGATTTCAACAACAGAGGCTGGATTGGCGCCGCGCTGCGGGTCCAAGCGTCCGATCTATCTCCGAGAAAGCGCCGGCTTTGGAAAATGGATTTTGATCCGGCGACAGCGGATCCCGTGCGGTCTTTTCTCCTTCCGCGTCGGCCAATTGCCGGAGAGCAAAACCGCGAGCGTCATTCCGGCCCGGCACGCCGAGGTCGTGTCGCCTACCTCCATGGCGGCGTAGGTGTACAGAACCTTGTCTTTGATGACGAACCACAAGCGCTTGCCCTGCTTCTTTTTGCCCTTGGACCGCTGCAAATAGCCACTCATGGAGGAGTTGTCGGTGCTGGCCGTCACCTGAGAAAGGCCCGAGGCGCGGTTGTAAGAGATCCCTCCGTGAGGGGACCGCATCCTGCGCAGAAAGAGAGAGAGAGAGAGGGCGAGCTCACCTCTTTGGGGGCTGCTGGTATTCGCTTGTGTTTGCGAGAGAAAGCAAAGGAGGCTTTGGGAAGTGCGGCCGCGGAGAGATCTTCTTGGCCTGGCAGACAAAATAAATCCTCATCAACGATTTGAAGAGCCAAAAGGTGAGGACGTAGGGCGCCGGAGAGGTACTTTGGTGCTCCTGCTCCCGCAGGACGAGGTAACACTGGTCGCACACTCTTGCCAACTGGTTCTTCAGGTACTCCAGGCTTCGCTTGTTGGAGGAACATGACTGGCACACCACCTAGTGGACAAAAAAAGAAAAAAAAGTATCATTTCGGGCACTTGATATGAAAGAAAGGAAGCCTCTCGGTTCCGGGAATGTCAAATCCTTGGCATGGCCCTCCCTTTTGGTTTTGGTTTTTTAATTCACAAAATCTATCCAACATCAGGCAATCCAATTCACATTTTTGACATACCTACCAGTATAACTGGGGGGGGGGGGGGGGGGGGGTGGTGAAAAAAAAAAAATAAAGAACTATTTTAACATCGATATTATAATAACTGATTCATTGATATGTTTTATTTGTTATTCGATCAAGAGATTTAAATTGATAATTTACCTTAATCCAAACCCAATTTATGGATGTGAAAGTTTCTGAATAAAACATACAAATTAACAAGAGGACAGACACATTTTTTTCTTTCGAGTCGAACACAGAAATAATTTTGTTTTCCATTCAATGTAATTCTGTCGCTGTCAAGCCACGCTTTTGCTCCCAACTCGTGTTTCTAAATTGAGCCCCCCCCCCCAAAAAAAAATCTACCTGTCGTGATTCGTCACCGGCATCGCGAGATGTCGTCATTTCGCAAGGCGTGCTCTTCGATAATGATCGACCGCGACGGCGTTTGCGTTTGTCGCACGTTTGGGTTCGCGGGGAGGCGCCTGACCTTGCCGCAGGCTCGACAGTGGTGGCGCCTCCACGTCAGCGTGAATTCGCAGGTGCAGATCATGCACATGGTAGCGCGGGGGTCCGGGATCCAAATGGGAGCTTTGGCGCCCAAAGAAGCGCTGTCGCCGTCGCTCAGTTGGACCTTGAACGTTCCCCCCCGCCCCAAGGAGACCATCAGTTCAAGGCACGGGCGGGGGCCACGCCTGCACGAACGATACGGAGCACTTTTGTCCCGCTTGCGTTACCTCGTCGAAGGACTTCCCGGATATGAAAGTGATCTTTTTCTTGGTGTAATCACCGATGGCTGCGGAGATGGCCTGGAGCCACTCGTCTCTCTCCGACGCCGAACTGCAGAGAAGATTTTTTTTGTTTTTTCTTTTCCACACCGACTTCAACGGCGCCGAAGGAGTGAAAGGCAAAATGAGCTGGATTACCCGGCCGAGAGAATGAAGGAGCGCTCCACGCTCTCCACGATGAACTCATTCTGGCAGGCCTCTTGGCTGGGCCGACTCACCTGTCACGGTTCACATCACGGTGAGCCGGCTGTCGGCGGGATCGGCAAATTCGAGCGCGTGCGGGCCACCCGCGTCCCGCGCCGGTCATCGAAGGCCGCCGCGCCGGGACGCGCCCGATTCCCCTCGAGCGGCCCTCGAGGACCGGCATCGGGGACCCCCGATGTCCGACGAGACCCGAGAGGAGTTTGCTCTCACCTTCATCCCCGCCAGAGACAGCAGGTTGTTGAACTTGTACTGGCCCGACTGAAGAGGCGTGGTGTACAGCAAGCTGTCGTTAAACTGGAGGAGAAAAACACAAGCCAGAGTGGGGGGCCCCCCCCACCGATTTGGCCTTTTGCACGGCGCCGAAACCGCAATCAAGCGAGCGTCTTTAAAATGATCGGCATTCAGGTGGCACGGCGACGCCACCGACAAAGCGCCATCTTTCCAAGACGTTGGTCGATTCGCTTTGGCGGACCGCCTAAAATGATGTGACGGGGCCGGACGTGGGCCCGGGGGCCGTCCGTCCCTATGAATTTCTTTTCCTCTCCCGGTGCTAAAGGCTAGCGAGCACGCGTGCCATGACAAGCAACAGCCGTCAGTTGACCCGGGAGCGGTCTGCGAGCCGACACCCCCCTGCTTGAGAATCTCAAACCAAATGGCGGAGAGCCCGAAGAGGGCCGGCGCAGATTTCCCGCGGCAACAATGGAGTCAAGGCTTTGCGTTTCGTCGGCAGTTCGACGCGCCGCGATGCATCGAACCGCCTCGTTATTGTCACGGAGGAGGAAAACGTTGCTTTTGCGTGTTTCAAATGGTGCAAGGAGGCGGCGGTACCAGGAAGAACATTCTGGGCTGCATGACTTTCCTGGACAGCTTGTTGAGGACGCCCTCTTTCAGGAAGGTCTGGCGCAACAGAAAAGCCAAAGGGTTGGAAGGGCACGTCGGGGAAAGCCCCGCCCCCGCCCCCCCAGCTTGCGGCGGATGAAGAAGCGGCTCACCCTGCCGGGCTGGACGATCTCGCGGTGGCCATTCAGGCTCGCCTGCACCTGCATCAGCTTCTGGAAGTTGTCCTGGGGCGGCCGCAAAACGGGAGACGTCAGATGCGGCATCCGCAGACGCCGGCTGAATTCGTGCCGTGAGCGCGCTCGCCACTCTGCGCGCGCCGCGGGCCCAAATCCTCTTTTGCCCCGTCGAAATGAACGTGCCGGTCCCACACATGGCGCCGCCCCGATTAGGCTCGCGTATCCGCCGCGTGGGTGCTATGGCTCACGTTTTCGAGTGGAGTTTGCCCCCCCCCCCGACTCACCCCTTGCTTCATGATGTCGTTGGCGTGCTTGGCCACCTCCTCAACAATCGCCAGAGCATCTGAAGGGAGCAAAGAGAGCAGCGTGAGCTTCGCCGCTTTCCGACGAGCGGCGGCCTGGCGGCTTTACCTTGCGTGTCCTTGTAATCGGCCGAGTCTTTGGACAGGTTCCTCAAATAGTCTGCGAAAACAAAGACTTGAGCCGTCACTCGCGCTCAACCTTGGGAGCTCGCCCTCGCGGGGTCAGTTGCTGCCACGTCGTCCGCTCGCGAGACGTAAGCGGGTGACGCCAGTCACCGAGCGGCTCGGCGAGTCTTACCTCGGAGCAGGAGTTGATACTGAGGAATCCTTTGAACGGGCTTGAGGAGGTAGTGCTTCAGAGCCAAGTTGGCGCAACGCGGACTGGCCTGCGGCAAACCGCGCATTGGAGAGGGAAACGAACGCACATGGAAAAAAGAAAGGAAAAGTCGTCGAGACCGCTCAGCAAACGCCGGCAATGGAGCGAGCGACGGCGGTGCCTCAGCCCCGTGCCCGGCGCGCAAGTGCCAAACCCCGTATTGGTGCGCGTTATCGCTTTGACACAAAGCAGTATGAGAAGCAGTTGCGAGAAGCCAACGGCAGTCTCAATCCCCGTCCCCGGCAGAGGAGCGTCTTGCGGACGTGCGGCAAAAGAAGCGAGTCGCCGTTACCTCGAATTCTCGCACGACGGCGGCGAAAGGCGGATTCTTCCTGCTCTGCTCTTCCAGCAGCGCCGCGTTCTTGTCAAACTCGCGGATGTACGTGGAGTACATCTTCAGGTAGGGGCCCACCTTCAGGAAGATGTCGGCCACCTGCTCCTTTTCATCCCTGCCGAAGAAAATAGAAGGCAGTTGAAGCTTCCGCAGACCATGCGGTCGAGCCATCGGACCGAGATTTATTTGGCATGAAAACGTTTGTCCACTCGGGGTCGTATCTGTGACCTCGAGCGCGTAGGGCTTGAGAAGGCGGGGCCCAGCACGGTGAGCGACGGCAGCGTCAGCCGATGAGAGCGCCGAGCCGGCGGGCCGTCGCCGGGCCGCGTGTCCCGGCAAGATTTCTCTCTTTCTTTCTTTTTGCGTGTAATCGAATCATAACCGTTGCCGTCATACTTGCGGTTTGCAAAAGAAACACGGCAAGCATCCCCGTGCGATGCGGACGACCGAGCGCATTTCGGAGCGTCGGCCGGATATCAGACGGCGATCATGACAGAAGCTTTTGTTTGGCTTTCATCCGCGAGCGTCAGCGCCGTCGCAAACGGCGGCGTCGCGGCCGGACGTCACGCCGCAGGTGTTTTCCAAAGAATGGGCGACATTCTTCCTTCGGCCCGCTGAAGACAACGAGCCACGCCGGTGAGTCACCCTCAAGTATTTTGAGCTGCCGGATGCCAGAAGGCCTTCGGCCCGACAAACCGACGGCGTCACATTCCGGAGCCTCGGCGCGGAACTTCCGGCAGGCTTTCGCTTTGACGGGGCCCGAGGGCCTCTTTCAAACGGCAGCCGAGAAGCGGCCGCCTCCGTTGGGATCGCTGTTCCACGCGATACTTTCAATTCATCGGCTTCATTTGATTTGTGGCCGAGGAAGCGAGTCCGTTGACTCGACAGAACACGCGACCGGGACGATGGCGGCGCCTCCGGCCGGGCCAAGAAAAAAGTCCGCCGTCGGCGAGATCGGAGATGAAGACGCGACGCGCCAGCTCTCTCCAGAGTTGAGAGTCGGCGCCGGACCGCGCGCAAGCATTTCGGATTGAACGATCGGCAAGAGAACCCGCAGCGCGAATCCCGTTTGCAGCCGCAAGAGCGGTTTCGACTTGCTTGTCGTCGGCCGGCCAAGCTTTGACGGGGACGCTCGGAGTTGCCGTTTGGATCCGGCGACCGAGCGATTCCCGGGAAACCGAGGTGGGCTCGCTACCATTTGTCCAGTCGATCGCGCAGCTCCTGCAGCAGGTCCCGGTTGAGTTTGTAGAGTTGCGGCAGGTAGTAGAGGATCCGCTCCAGCGCGCGCTCCTCGATGACGGCTTTGCCGTTCTGACGCGACGCTTTGGCCACGGCGTCGCGGAAGTCCTGCGGGGGGGAAATCGGACATCAGCGACCGCAGACGAGACTTGGGATGAGATAAGAGCGATTCAAACTCATGACCGAATCTTGACGGCCGTGGCGAACCCCGACGTGAAACCGCAAGTGAGATCGCCTGGTGGTCTACAAAGACCCAAAGGCCGGAAAACCTTCCTTTGCGATGCTCGCTATGACGGTCGGGCCCCGAACGGGACATTCCGGCTCCAAGTCCAAGGGATGTTTTTGATTTGATCTTTTTTTTTTTTAAATCGCTGAACAGCGATTAAAAAAAAAAACGTTTTTCTGGATGCGGCCCCCCGTGGAAAAAGTTCAGGCACCCGCTGCAACAAAGAGGCGGCCGTTAGGTCCCCAAGCCGAGTTTTGGGCCCCGGCGGAGGTCCGCCCGTGAATCGCGGCGCGTTTCAGTGGAGCCTGAAGAAGGAGCGATGAGCAATGGCGTTGGCGCTGACTCAGTCTGACCGCGCGTCACCGCGTCTTCCGCACACGGGCCGACTGATACTTGCCGTCTGTGGCGAGCGCTGACTGACATCTGCTCACGTGAGCGTCTTTTGGAGCCCGGCGGGCGTGAGTAAAAAGATTCCAGCACAGGAAATGAAAGCCTTGCTGAGATCGGGCTTTGCGTTTTAGGCAAGTGTGACTGACTGCCACTCGACTGAAAAAGGCACGTTGTTCTTGTTAAAAAAAAAAAAAAAAAAAATCCAAAATTCAACAAGGACTTCCGTCTCGCATCGCGACCTCCGAGCCTGCAGATGGTTTTGTGTGCATTTCAAAGAAATCAAATAACTGAGGAACGAATTTTTCCCCCATTTCACGTCATCAAAACCGGGCGATGCATATTTAACGTGACATCGGCTAATTGAAAGCAACATCTCAAAAGTCACTCGAGGGACCAGAATTGATTTTTTTTCCCCCCCAATAAACGACGGCATCGGATCAGGCGTTGACGTGACATGAGTCAAATTAAAGAAGTACAAACTCTGAAATGGACTGGCCTTCTTCACTGGCGTGGACGTTCAGAGACGATTTACTGCCGTTGACAAATCTATTCGTCAAATAGTTTGTTGTTGTTGTTGTTTTTTTTTTTTTTGTCATAGGTCAACACGGAAAAGGTTCTCGTCCAGCGAGTCTGCAAAATTCACATTTGTACACGCCCGTGATGACAAGCGGATCGCTGTAGGTGGCGGGATTTGCATCGCTTCCCATTTGAGATTGAGGAGTCGCAAGAAATCTGAGCACGCGTTACTGTTCGACTTGACGTGTGTCTTTTCACCCAATTGTTGTTTTCTCTCTCCGCTTTTTGGTGGGAGCCCGTTTGTTTTGGGGAACTGCTGCATACAATCAATCAACACACTGAAACGATTGGCACTACGGCGAACTTGGTAGAAGCAGGCGTCAAAAAAAAACAACCTTTCTGAAGTACAGGAACTTCATATTTGCGCAAAGTCTTTGAGGAAGCCGAACCTTGACACGGAAGGCAAAAGGCGGCTTACCACATGAAGCAGCTTCAGGACGTCGACAAACCTATGAAGCAACCCAAAAGGGAAACGTTACACATTGGAGCGAGGGAGTCCAAACAACGAAAAAGTCGGCCACGTCAACAAACGGCCCGACGGCAAGAAAAGCGGCTTACGCTTTCTCGGAGGTCATCATTTCAGTGGCGATGTGATGGATCTTGCGCTTCGCGGGGCCACTCGCCATCTAACGCCCAAAAAATAAGAAAAGAAAGAAAGAAAAGCTGAAGACAACGTGTCAGTTTCCAAAAAAAAAAAGAAAGAAAAAAAATCCATTCCAACTTTTTTTTGTCGGACAACGCGGTCGACCCAAGGACATCACTTCAAGGGGAGGGGGAGGGGGAGGGGCGGAGGACCTCCGAGAGGTCAGGTGGGGGCCAGGCCATTTCAAGATGGGGAAAAAAACAATCAGAGGATCTTCTTCAATAAAAAAAAAAACTTCTAAAATGGGGAGCCAAAGCAGGAGTGACGCACTCCCTCTTTATCGGAGGACCAGTCAAGAGGCGAGCGGCGGCATTTTGGACCAACTGGAATGGAGGATCGGCCGACTCCAAAGTCAAGTCCATGGCGGCGTGTGACAAAGGCGCGAAGGACCGTTTCAAGCGAAGGGAGAGGCTCGACTTGGGCCGGCCGAAGCCCGATTGGACAACGGCGAGCAGACGTTTGGTGATCGTATGATGCGGTTGACCAACATTTGACGCTGCTTTGTTCACCCTTCAACTATTCTATTATTGTAGGCAAGATATCACGGCGCGCTCGCCTTCTTATGAGAAAACACACGTTGGAAAAATGTTTGGGGAAGGACGATTGGAGTTCCGAGCGAGTCGGTGGATGAAAGGCAACTGGCATTTGGAGCCGCCGCCGCCGCTGCCGCCGCAGGTCGCTTTCCTGGCCGCACTTGCCTCCGGTTGCTCGGCGTCCCCTTTACTGGAGAGCGAGCTCTCATCTTCCTCGTCGTCCTCGTCGGAAAAAGGCAGCAGCAGGTCGTCATCGGAAGTGCCGTCGTCCACCTCTTCGCTCAGAGAACTTCTGCTCAAAACACAGCCGGCGAAGCAAACGGTGAGTTGTCAGCGGAAAAAAAGCCGCGGCACGCGCGGACGACCGAGCCGGGGTGTGAAGTGAATGGCCGGCGCGCGTACGGCGGACGCCGCGGGGAGCGATTAAATGGACCTGCAGCGAAGAGCCTGCGGATTTCGTTTTCCGGGTTGTGCCGGTTTTGTCAAAGATCTGCGTCAGACTAGAGCAGCAAAAATGAGCTCCTCACGCACGCGCACACACACTCAGAGCGCGGCATGTTGACAACAGCCGTGACTCATTTGTGTTTGCGAGCTGCTCAACGTGTTTTCGAGCGTGTGACCGTCAACGGCTTTGAGGTCGCGGCGCACTAAGCGAAACTAAAGCAGGCTACGCTAAGGCGCAGGAGACGGCGCGCAGTCGTACGGCGTAATCCGCCGACCGTTCACAGCAAATGACCGACTTGTTGTTCGGGCGCAGGGTTGATGTTTGAAACCGGAAACGTCCCGCGCATGAACGCTCATCCGCTTGCTCATAACGTGATGATTTTCCGTGCAGTCGAATGCGTCGGGAAAAGGTGCCGATTCAATTTGGGAAACTGACGAGACTAGCGCGAGACGACCGGAAGTTCACGTCGCAAGCTGGTTTCTGACATCGCCGTAGCAACGGAACTGTTGTGTGTTGAGTGACAAACCCAAAACGCACCTGTCGTCGTCGCTCTTCTTATCTGGGGACAAATACACCTCGGGTTCCTCGTAAATGCCGTCGTCGTCGTACAAACTCTGGCAGGCGGCACCGGAAGCGTCCGAGCCGGCAAAGTAGATGTTCTCGTAATCGGAGATCTCCTCGTAGTAGCAAATGTTCTCGTAGTTGGCGTCCGGCTCTTCTCCGTCGACGCTTTGCTCCACGCCGAGCAGCGGGGAGAAGCGTTGCGGCGGCGCGCCGCGGGGATGGCGGGGTCCGTCCCGCTCATCGGGCGTGGGCGAGCCTTTCGGCCCGAGCTGGGGCCGCATGGCGGCCGACAGCTTGAGATCCAGCAGCTTCCTGAAAGAGCTCCGCCTTCCCTCGGGACGGACTCGCTCCGTCCCGGAGAAGGAACTGTGTCGTCGCAGCGGCGCGGGCCTGCTTTCATGCGTTCTCGCCGTCTTCTCTGGAGGCGGGGGAAGATCCGCCGCGACACTCGAAGGATTCGTCACACGAGCTGCAGATTTCAGAGCTTCTCCGACCTCAGGAATTTCCGTCTTCGTCCACGCCATCGCGCCGTCGTTCGCCGGCAGCGCGACGGCGACGAGATGGGCCGCTCCGTGGCGGTTGTCCGCGCAATTGTTGGAGGCCTCGCGGTGGCGCCTTCCTTCCCTCTCTCCCTCCAGCTCCTCATCTTCCTTGTCGACGGAGAGTTCCGTGTCGTAGGCGGGGCCGTCGCAGCCCAGGTCTTCTTCGTCCACGTCGCTTCGGAGCGCCGGCCGAGCCGGACTCGAGCCTCTTTCGGGCGCGGCGAGATAAGGCTTGGTCCTGGGCGTCGGGGGCGGCCACGCTGGGCTTTGGCCGGCGGTCACGCTGACGGACGAGCGCGCGCCGCCTTTCCCGTCGCTCCCTTCCTGGGCCGGGATTTCCTCCCTCTCCCGCGCCCCCTTTTCCTGGCACGCCAGCGAGCTGTTTTTGTGTCTCCGCGGAACCGGGACGGGGACGGTCGGCGGTGATTTTTTTCGCCTAGCCTCATCGGCGTCTTCCTCCAGACAACGCTCGCTGGCGTCCCGGGTTGCGGCGTGGGCGTTTGCCCGATGGCCGCCGGAGCTTCTGAGTACAAGCTGTCCAACTCTCATCGGCGGACGAGAGGTGTTCAAGTTTTGCCGCAGGTTCTCGGCGGGAGCCGGCGAAGGGTCTCGGGGAGCTTTGGGGCTTGCGAGGTGGCCATCGTCTCTCTTCGGATGGCCGCTCTTTCTCTCCGCAGATGCGGGCGCGGTCGGAAAGCGTCTCTCCGTTTGGTCGATGTGACCGTCGCGGATGCAGCGACAGTTTTTCTGGCTGCACAGACAAATGGGAATGATGTAATCCCAGTTGGGCTTTTTGTCGTCATTCCGTGTTGCGTTTTGGGGGTTCAGGAGGCCGACCAGAGGCGGGCTTTTGGCCGCGCTCGTCGCGCGGGCCTTTGAAGCGGCGGCTTTGGAGTTGGGCTCGGCGAGGTTGGGTTTGGGCGCCGGCAGCGGTCTCGTCTTCCTCGGGGGGCCGGGAGACTGCCGCGACGGGACTTCTTTTCTGGGCGTCGGGGGAGACGCCGCCGTCGGCTGTCGCCGGGCTAGCTTGGGTTTCGGTGCCAGAGGCGGCTTGTCCGCGCCTGCGCGGACACAGATGAACAAATCCCGTCAAAACCCGGAAGAAAAAAAGAAGTCCGGCGGCACAAACGGCAAAACTCGCGTTCCAGGTGCCCCCATTTGCCCAACTCGGAAGATGTTGCCATTTCTCTGCCTCATCGCAGAGGCAAGCTTCACCGCCTAACCTTGATTTTCGACTCAAAAGCTGCGCTGGTGTCATATCCAAAGCAATGCCGCGCCGCCATCTTTTCATCATGACAGTGGAGGGCAAAGGTGAACTAACGATCTGGGCCAAACCCTCCTCGACGACTGGATTGCCGTTGACAAATGCAAACGAAATGTGTTGCCTTCCTTTGACATTTGTGCAGCACTTCAGTTTTTGTCTGGCAATTGGTAAAAAGTGCAACCAAAGGAATCGGCGTTTCACTGAAAAAACAAAATCCAACCTGACCCCCAAGACATCCAAGTTGGATGTTGAATCCGTTTAGGGGTGGGTGGGGTCACCGTTTTTACAAGCTGCTTGGCGATGACTGACTGATCCCAACAATGACGAGAAAGTTGTATCCAAATCCAATCTAATCCAACCTCGGGTGCAACAAATATCTATCCAAGTTGGATGTTAAATCCGTTTCGGGGTGGATGCCAGATGTTGCCCGGCGGGTGGGGTCACCGTTTTTACAAGCGATCACTGATCCCAACATTGACAAGAAAGTTGTATCCAATCTAATCCAACCTCGGGTGCAACAAATATCACAGCGGATTTTCTGTCCCACGCCACGCTGAGTAATCCAACTAACTCAAGGTCCACGCCAGCAGGCCGACGACGGGGAGGAGGATGATGATGATGATAATGATGAGCGGGAGGTTTGGTTTGGGGGCCAGGGATGCAGATTCGCAAGGTCCACGCCAGCAGGCCGACGATGATGGGGAGGATGATGATTATGATGAAGGGGAGGTTTGGTTTGGGGGCCAGGGATGCAGATTCGGAGGTCATCAGTGCGAAATGGTTCATTTTGAACGTGATCATCGTGACGTCATCTTCAAATCACGACACCTATTTTTGATCTCAATGCTGCCAGCTGATTACACCAGCCGACGGACAGCCCTTTTTTTGCGATTTGAACAAATTCTTGAAGCAAGAAACGTCAAGTGGACTCCGAATGAGGCGGCGAACCCCAACTGGCCAACTGGCACCTGCCCTCAACTTTTCAACACGTTCAGCTCGAAACTGGTGCCAAAGAACCAGGCGACGTGTCGTACCGATCAAGAAATCGCATTGTCGACACGTCATGTTTCGTTCTTGACGGCGCCTTGTCGTCGCGCAACGGGCGACAAGAACCGCCGCCGCTCAG